ACTACAACCTTAAGGACATCCAATTTGCAAAAGAAAAAAAATGTCCTTTTTCTTCCAATACACTTTTTATATTTTAAACTGCATTTGATGTTCAAAGTAAATATACCAAAAGATGCAGCAAGTTCTGATCTTTCTCCCTATATATAGTGAGTTTACAGATAAAAACGTATAGTAATAAAAAAAACCAAAAAAATCAAAGGGTATATTTTCAATTGTCCTGGACTGTATAACATCCATCTCCTCATTCTAAAGAAACCTAGAACATGTATACTTATATACTAAATCTTTTTCTCCTGTCTGCAATATATAATACAATGATACATCAGTGAAGTGAAACACAAGCGCTCATTTTCTTGTCGAACACAATCACACACTAGAATTAAGATCTACTCGATAAACATAGCAAAACACAGAGTAATCATTCTTATCCAGTATTGTTAATTATATTTGTAGATCCACACAATATTCTGTGTTATCCTCCACTATCGGTACCATTTGTCGGTAAACTTTCTCATCAAGTGCGTAATTCATCATTACAATTTCTATCTCTATTCTTACAAGTCATTCAATCTAGTATCATCATTCATTGACAAAAGATATGCCATCTCGTTCTGCTATCCATATAACCACCCGATCACCCAAAAATAATATCCATCCGACAAAAAATCAGTCTGCCAATCCTCAAGACATTTTGTTCCCGGTTATTATATTCTTAAAATCTTTGATTATTCATATTTTCTCTTTGTGTAAATAGATGTCAACTATTTTGGCTGCGCGTTATTATCAAGGTAAATCCCAGCCTACTGCGATGCAAGAGGAGGGGAAAGTAAGGGGACAGAGAAAATTTATGAGAGATGAACCCACCCTCCGTCAGAATGTCCTTGAAACAGTCCAGAACAAATCTGTCAAAGAAATTGTCAGTCAAAATTTTAGTAATCAAATAAACAATCGAACACATGCCGACAAGGACACCAAAATGACTCCATATTCTCAGTCATCAACACAGGTGAAATATCAAAATGAGGAGCATATTCATTATTAGATTCTATACATCTAAGTATTTATTATTGAAGATCTGCAAATTGTTTAGTTTTTGTTCTATGAACAAGTTCTTATTTGAAGTATATACATCTTTATCGAATTTTACAAAAAGTCAAAAGTTCTAGTTTCATATAAAATTCGATAGAGAGAGAGAGTGTTCAACAATTTTTAAGCCTAATAAGCATATTTGTGTACAACTAGTATGTTTGATCACATACTCTGTTAGGTAAACTCTTAATGAAATGGCTCTCCAACCTGAGAGAATGACCATTGTAATAGAAATCTAATGTTTCTCTGTAATTGAACGATTTTTATGTATACTTTCTACACTTTTTCTCTCTTTGATCAATGTGTAACGTATGTTGAAACTATACAATAGCTAATTGTAAGAAATAGAATTTATCTCTAAAGAATTTATTGAAAAAAGATAGAACGACAACAGAACTAGAGAACTTTAGGGCCTTATTGCGCAAAAACTGTATTTTGACGTGTTTTCAACGAAAAATGTTTTCATTTGAGCATCGTTTGCATAAAACAAACTGGAAATGTATTTGCTGACATAGCATCAACGTCGAAAAAAAAGTGTTTCAAAATAGAAGTACTGAATAAAGGTTGGAAACGCAAGAAAATACTATCATGTTATATGTATTTCAATAGCCTTTTCCTTAGTTAGTTTCCATATTGTAATTCAACGTTTCCTGGTTCCGTCAAAGATGCCTCCCGCAGAAAACAGGTTAGAGATTGATCAAAAGTCAGATGATAGATTGAAGGAATCTCGAGAATATATTTTAGAAAGATAACGAATGGTCAATAAGTATTTATTGATAGAAACTAAAGTGATTTAGTCCTGATCATATTTCCATTTCTATTAGTTAAATATAAAATTATTTTTGTTTCAATGGGCTATATTTGCATTTGAGTTATAATTACAAATAATTTGATTTGATTCGATGATAAAACTGAAACGAAAATGGAACTATTTATTCCTTTTCTTTTCTCTATATTTATGTTCTAAATTAATTCAGGCAACTGGCTTATTTTCAAATGGAGTGGATTTTCAGGATATCCATCATCAAGCATTGAACGGAAATAAAAAGAAACAGTAAATAATTGCTTTGCCTTTTTTCTTATTAACTATTAAAAATGTTTCATTTAGCTATTTTAAACACATTCGTTGCCAATATTCACCTATCTGTTTATTTCTGTCTCTACTTTTTCTTCTACTTTTTGGCGCGGGCATTGGTGCAATGCTTGTCGCCTTGATCGGTGTCCCTAAAACGACAATAACAACAACAACAGCGACGACAGTAACAACAATAACAACAAC